CCAGCAACAGGCGGTAAAGGTGGCACGTCTGCGGAGCCGGCTCTGTCAGGACTTAGCATCCCGGCGAAAGGAGGTGTGCCTGCGCAGCAGGCGATCCCTCAGCCCTGAGTTCTAGCAGGAGCCGGGATGCACGCACTGAACGCTAATTGATAGCAGCCTTGAAGGGTATTTAGTTCCCTATTCCATGCTAGCTCCTCGTGCCAGTAACTAGTCAGCTTGACGAACACTTCCACACCCACCTCGCCCATGTTCCGGTTCCTGACCCGTGCTCTGTACTCTTGGCTCCTTGACCTTGGCTTTGACCACTACGCTTTTGGTTTGTGCTTTGGACTCTGTTATTCGGTTCCTGTCTTGCTAACCCTCGGCTTTGACCTTGGTCTGGACCTGGACTATCTCTCGCTCATTCTGCCTGCATTCCAGCCCATGACACACATCGGGGGAGGGATACATCTTTCAGTTCAGCCTGACAATATTTCTACAATTAATCTGCAAATCACATGTTACATCACAGCAGGCCAAAGGTAGGTAACATGCTGTAATCTACAGTGAAAATCTGTATGCTACAGGCGACAGAAATGTATGTCGATAATTGTTACATTCCTACAATTATGGGATTAAAACAAATAACTGGGCCAATCTCGGCAATGCTGTAAATTGCACTAGAGGGCACTAGGCCTACCTGGCAAGATCTGTACATCCTTTAATCTTAGAATCAGTGCCACCAAGCATAATGGAAGAAATGCATGCCTTGACAGGCAGCACCAGACTGCCAACCTATAATGAACCCAGTTCTCATAAATACTGCTAAAACAGCAGTGTTCTGAAACAAGGTGAATAAGCTTCAAATTAACAAATTTCTGTAGCTGGGGGTCAGATCAGAGTTTAACTCCCAAGTCCCTGTAAAATAACTATTTATCTGGACATACTGATTGTGTCACACCAACGTAACACATTCTTCCCCTATCCTATCTCCTTCATCAGTAGTTCTATCAGGAAGAAAACTCAGAGTTCTCTAGCAGTCTGGTAAAGTAGCCTAGGACACTGGCATAGAGATAAAATGGAAATGCCAGACAACAACAAAGTATCTCTGTATCTTTATTATTCCTGTCAGTTAATGAAATTTACAATTTAGACAATTACTAACCCCATAATTCCTTTCCCTTCTGCTTGCTTAACTTATAGAAGTAGACAAAATGCTCTTAGTTAAATGTCCTATTTGCTCCATATATGAAATGTTCTCTTGTTGCTAGCATCCTCTGGGTTCCAGAAACCCAAGTTAATCTGAAGTATCTAAACATACAATAGCATGGTATCATTGAAGTCCAGAGGTTAAATTTAAGTATTTTTCCTTTAATTTGCAGGGCCCTGTTGTGAAAATCTTATCTAAGAGCTCATTGGAGTATTTTACAGATTAGTGGCACCATTCTTTTTAAAACACAAGTGATTTTTAATAGTTTATCATTCTAGGGGCTGTGTGGCTCAGAGGTTAAGATGCTGAACTGCAGACCGGAAGGTCTGTAGTTCAGCAGTTCGAGACCCTAATGCTGGGTGATGGAGTGAGCTCCCGCCAACCTAGCAGTTCGAAAGCAAGAAATTGCAAGTAGATAAATAGGTACTGCTTCGGTAGAAAGGTAACAGTGTTCTGTGTGCCTTAGCATTTAGTCATGCCGGCCACATGACCACGGAAACGTCTTTGGACAGTGTTGGCTCTTCAGCTTGGAAACGGAGATGAGCACCGCCCCCTAGAGTTTGATCTGACTAGCTTTCAAGTAAGGGAAACCTTTACCTTTTTAGTACAAATATTGCAGCAAAACCCAAAAGCTTTAGCAACCCTAAAGTTATGAAAGGTCAATTGATGTTATAACAAGATGTTATAAAAGTAATGAAAGGTCAATTTATTTATTTAAATTTATTTTAAAATGATGTTATAACAAGATTAAAGGTAAAACTGAAGCTTAGGTTTTTTTTAAAATATGCAGGTACAAGATGTGCAAAATATACAAATGGCATCGCTTCTCGGCCTTTTGGCTAAGATCAAGTGTATGGACAAATGGCAAAATACACAAATATCACCATCAGTTATGAGTATAGCATTCAGTTTTAAATATACAGTTTCTAAACACTGTAAGAACTGCTTATGCTAGATCACACTTGAGAAGTCATCTATTCTTCTATTGCAACCCCAGCAACAGCCAACAGTATGCCTCTCCTGCTCACTCTATCTACTTGATATATTTTTATTCTATCCTTTCTCCAAAGAGCTCCAGCCAGCAGACATGGTTCTCCATTCTTCCATTTTATCTTAACAACCACCCCGTGAGGTAGGCCAGGTTGAATGAGTGTGAATGGCCCAAGTTCATCCAGTGAGCCTCATAGATTTGAATCCAGGTCTCTGCAGCTCTCATCCAACACTCTACCCGCTACACTGCTCTAGCTCTTTCACCCCACTTGTGGGTGGCTGAATGGCACCAGAAGCCAGGAGAGACCCTATCTGTTTGACCAGGGCACTAGTAGTGCCTGTTCAAGGGATGGAGTACTAGGCAAGGAAGCCCATCACTTGACAACTTAAAGAAGTCACTGTTAAGAATCCCCAATCCAAGGGATCCTTGCTATGGGTGGGGAGAGAAAATTACAAAACCATGGGGGGGGGGGTGTCCACGCACTCCAGTGTGGTAGTCTGGCACCAGCCCCTTGAACTACCCACACAGTCAGAAGCCAAGGGCAAGTTTCTAACCTTACTGGGAGTTAATTAAGAAAGCCAACCCTGTAAGGTAGGTAACTTTCGGAATGAGTTTTCACTAATAGTTAACCTGTACGCGGATGCTTTAGGTCTAAGGTACTGGAACTAGATTGAAGCTTCTGAAGTACAGAACAGCCAGGTATAGTCAAAGTATTATTTATTCATTAAAGAGTGCAAGAATATTTCCCAAAGAACAAAGCAATGAGGAGGAAAAAAATAAATCTAAATAATAAGTTCTAGCTACACATTATACCCTAAATTATAGTTAACATAGGTTACTCTTCTTGGTGAAGTCAGGCATCTTTCCAAGTCTCTTTGTGTGCCAGGCCCATGTCTAATCCATGATAGGGTTAGCCCACTGCCTCCAGGAGAACTGAAGCTAGCTAGCTGGCTCCAACTAACAAGAAGAAAGCTAAATTTCTTAAAGTATAAGATTTGGACAGGCTGGGGCCCTTTTAGCCAATGTAAAACTCAGATTACCAAAGTTATCTTCACACGGATCTGTGACAACAAATGGTTTCAGCAGAGAAGCAGTTTATGACAGGATGCTTCTCTCTGAAGTGTAAAACAAGCATGAGCAGAAAGAGGAGGTGTGTGTTCAGTGACAAATAGTATGGCTCCATTTGGTCTCTGTTATTAAAAGGCACCAAGCCAGACTTGTTAACTTTCTCATGACAAACCCCAGATGTTTCCCTTTGATCTCTTCCATGTTTCAGGCCTAAGTTATGATATGAAGCCTGAACCAATGTTTTAATGCAAGAACAAGGAATTGAACTGGAGGTCCAGTTTTCCATGACAGCAACCACCCACCCCCCCAAAAATTGCTGAAGCTGGACCTGCAGCAGATGCTCTGGAGACTCATCCATAATTTACATGACAATCTTCCCTGGTTTTGATTCAAGAGGGGCAAGTGGGAGGAGGACTAGGAGTTACATGTTTAAAAATACCTTGCCTGGAAATCCTTGCACCAGCACCATCCCTCACTCCCAGTCATCAGGTCCCTTCCCTCAACTGGAGCACTGGCAACTCTCCATGATCTGAGACCCTTTCCCATGTGCTCCTCCTTGACTCAGAGCCTTCACACAACACCAAGTCTTCATGTACACCACAGGGACTTTGTATACACAGGCACCAGGAGTGTCATGCCTCCAAGCCACTGCACGCATAGAGAAAGGCTTTCAGCCTTCCCCTATGCCAAGTTTGGGAATTGAAATGGCCCCCTGTAGCTGATATTTGCTCCCCTGGGAAACTTACAAATAGCTGGCATTATACACAAATGTCCCAAAAGAGCAAACAGCAGCTCCCAGGGCAGTTTCAGTTCTCAGACATGGTACCAGGGCAGAAGGAGACTGAAGTCTCTTCTCTATGCATGCAGTCATCAGACTATGACCCCTGCATGCCTGGAGGACACAGAGCTCTCAGTGCATGTGGGATATGATTTGAAGACCTTGTGGTGGCCATGAGGACTCTGTATCATGTGAATCAGCCATTTCAGCTGCCCCTTTCTAGCCTCAACATCCCTGCCATTCAAGCCGACTGATGAGGTGAGGCCCAACATCAGCTGCAAGTGCTGGCAAACTGCAAAGCCTACAATCTCTGCTCTCCTTGACAACTGTGTTGCTAACTTAAATGGAGGTTGGCAGAGGTCATTTCGGGGGGGATCGCGGGGGATCGCAGTTCCCCCGGGTGAGGTACAGGGGCGGGGCACATGATGAAGCCCCGCCCCCTGCTTCCGGCCGTCCCGCTTCCGGCCCTCATTCAGGCAGGAGGAGGCAGGAGAAGAGGGAGGGTAAGTTGCTTCCTCCCTGCCTCTCCCCACCCCTGCCTGTCTGGGGCCAGGGAGGGCCTTCGCGGGGCTTCCTCGCACTCCCGCCGGCCTTGCAGGTCCACCGCCGGGCCCCTCATGGGGCTTGGCAGTGGAGCTAATGATTTATGCTAATGAGTTCCCCTAGCTCTTTTTCTACGAAACGACCCCTGTAGGTTGGTATTAGATGACAAGGCTATCAGTAGCAGCCACTGTTTCCTAAGCCTGAAGAAAAGGCCAAAAGAAGACTGGAGTTCTCAGAACACACCTTCACTGCTGGTGGGGGGGGGAGGCCCTCAGCAAATGAATCAGGGATGGAATTCTTTCACTCCATGAGTATTTGCAAAAAAAATGCCACTATCATAAAATACAAATGTTTTTAAATGGAAAAGCAGCATTATTTTAGTCACTCATTAAGAAGGCATATATGTTTATGGCAAACAAAGTATAACTTACCCACATAATGCATGTTAAGAGCCAAGTACTTGTACTGGAAGAGGGGATTGTTGTTGAGGCTACTTCTTTGGATTTGCTGGAAGAAGGAACTGACATCCCATCTGTACAAGACATCCAAAAGCATGATGCTGGGGACCCGCAAGGCCACATTTAACACTGCTTCCAACTTCTCCTTTGCAGCCATTCTGCTTCTTTTCAGTGAAAGTGCCACAGACTGTAAAAAAAAAGAAGGAGAAATTAAGAAGTAAATTTCAGGATACCAAAAGTGTTCTTTAATATATCAATTTCCCTTTTGGATCCCATCAAAGGTCCATCAAGTTCAGCATTCTCTTTACCAGTGCCTAGACAGACAGTTTTGAAAGTGCACGAACAGGAAGCAAATCATTTGGCTTGTATCTTACACCTTTCATCTTTGAGAGCTTCCTCAAGGTTCTGTGAAAACAGTCCTTCATTTCCAGTCGCAAATTCTTCTTGCTAGGCACTTTGCACCTCAACAGAAGACAATGGTCTAGCAAAAACAGATATGTCCAGGGCTACAGGAAGTAGAATCTGTGGTGGATGACCTCCTCTGCAGCACTCTGAGAGAAGTGCACATGGAGGAAAGGTATAGGATCCAGGCAAACACCTGTTGTTCCCAGAATCTGGCATTGAGAGGTACACTGCAACATAACAGAGGTTTCGTTGAGTTATGATGGCTAGATGCTACTGACAGACCAACCCTTAGTAAACTTTTTAAACTGGTGATACTATGGGTTGGATCCTACAGAGGGTTTCCATAAATATAAGAGGGAGCAAATGTTAGTCCACTCTCCCCTCCTGCTTTTCCTGTGGGTTCCATGTCTCCCAGTAGCATCCTTTTGGGCTACAACAGCAAGGGGAAGAGGTCCACTTTACTAATGTAAATCTGTTTCATCAAATTCAAGCCTACATTTCGTGGTTATGAAGTCAACTATGCACCATGTTTTAGAAGTACGTATGAAAAAGGCATCACACAATGAATGAGTTTCACTCTATTTGTAATCAATCGGTTAGAACTTCAACAGTGAAGTCCGTTATGCTCTATATTTAGATCACGCTTATCTGTTTTCCATACTGACAATTTGCCACATTGACTGACTGTAAAACAGAGCCACTCTGCTGGCGGTAGCTGGCACTGAGAGCTGAAGGCTGTAGAGGGAAAGGGCTTTGAACATTACATTCTTCTATGTGGATTTACAACTTCATATACATGATCCGTCTGAGAAATTTATCCCATCATGGTCTTGGATAGAATTTTTATTCCAATAAACTATGAGAGCATAAAAGACAATCACTGTATCAAGAGTGACAGGGTAATACAAAGTAAGGACTCATCCTGGGATTTTTGGAGGCTCTAAATCTTTTTGGAATATCCCAGTACAATAACAACTTGGTCTATATGTAGTAAAAAAAAAAAGTACATTAAGACTACTCATTCAACTTAAAGCAGCACTCCAAGGGGGGGGGGACCTGGACAATCTAATTAAATGGTTTTGTATACTGTGAGTCACATTAAAGGGAAGTCTGACATCAAACATCCCTCAGAAAGGTAGATTCCAAGCTATAAAGAATGCCATCATGGATTATCCCCCTACCTATTAGGTCCCAAAGCTTTGTACTCAGTCCATTGGCATTTCAGACTTGGGATCAGCATGTATCTTCAGATGCAAAATAAAACAGCTATCAGTGTTCTCTTTTTATCTTGTATTTTACATACCAAGGGATATTTTTTTTTTAGCATTAGGGTTAAATAGCATTACTGAACTAAGATATTTTATACCCAAAAAAGGTTCCCACAGCCATACTTGAGATCATTTCTTACTGCAGCATAAGACAAAGGCTTGAGGGACTCTCCATAAAGTGTGTCATATTTTCTAAGACCCTGAATCTCTCTGTTGTCACAACTGTGCTACCCTTGCTGTGCAATAAGAACAGCTCAAGAGCTACAACAAATCCCTATGGTGCTGGAAATTGACAAAGTGAGATCTCACTGCAGTGGTTTTCTTCAGGAGCCTGAGATCAGTTTAACTCATAGCGGTTTCCTTTATACAGAGTATTATTTTTATCCTGTGCTTCCTCAAAGGAGCTCAGGGAGGCATACCTGGATTTCCCATTATCCTCAAAGCAATCTTGTGAGATGGGCCAGTCACACACACACTCTCAGCGTTGCCTAAGATTATCCAGCAAATTTCATGAATATGGGGGAAGCCAAACTCAACTCTGCAAGATCATAGCCTGACACTCTTACCACTATACTATATTGGTTTTATATTTGGGCATAGTCTCAAAACTCCAGATATTGTCTACATTTCTTTATCTCTCTCACACACACATACAAAATCGGTGGAGTCAGGTTAAGACTATGTCAGGTTGAGACTATTTTACTGACAGTAGCAGAATTCGGGGTATTGTTTTTTTTCAAACACCTAAAATACATGGGACTGATAGAAGTGAAATCCCAGTTCAGTTACACAAGGAGAGAAAAAAATTCCCATTCTTTATCACAGTTCGATATTGTGCAAACCACATACAAGCAGTAAAAAAGTTCACTGCCCTTAACCTGCATTTACAGGCCCCAACTCTTCTTCTGTCAAGTCTTTTCCTTAGAATGCTGAATTTAAAACATAAGCTCTCTTTTGACTTAAGAGAAAGAGCTGGGGGTTATGTGCACAGCCAAATGAACACTAAACCCAGGCATGAGATTTCTTTTTCTTTTTCTTTTTTTAAACATTTTCTTTATTCATTTTTAAACGAATACATTAAGATATCAGTTTAGAGCTTGATATACATCCTCAGATTGCAGAAACATTCCCATATTCCACCATATATTGCCATCTAATTTCTTATCATATCATAACTTTTATATGCGATAATTACAAATAAAACACTTATTTGTCTTTAGTCCCCATCAGATATATTCCATCATTGGTTTTCATTTAACCATCTATAAAACTTGAACCAAAATTTCTCAAAATCTTCCCAACCTTTTTCTTTTAAAAGAAATGTTAATTTCTCTATCTCAGCTACCTCTAATAATTTTTTGATCACTTCTTCTCTCGTAGGAGTTTCTTCATTTTCCCACTTACTAGCATATAAAATCCTGGCTGCATCACTAAGTAACTTTCCTTTTTCTTAAAAGTATCTGAGATAAAGTTTAATAAGAAACATTCCGGTACAAATCGTATCGTTCTAGCCAACATCTCATCAATCATCTCTTTGACCAGCTTCCAGTATTTTTTTGCTTTATTGCATAACCACCATAAAGTTCCGTCTTGTGCATGAGATTTCTGATGTACTAAATGCCTCATCCAGGTCTCAGTCTAAGTCCTCATGCCTACAGTTCTCAAGACAGGCATTTGAGGCTAGCTGTATTACAAATCTGAGCTCAGTTTGTTGCTTTCCCATGTTCCACAACGTCTGCCACTGAAGCATCAATTTAGCTGTAAGGTCTCCATAAGGAATTCCAGAATGGCTCAGCTAAGCAGCTGGCCAGCTGGTTAACTGTCCTCAATTCCAAAATGCCCAGAGATCCAGCAGACAACAATACAACAGGCCTACAAAAACAATGTAGGAAAAGTGCAACAGAAGCAGTAGTAAGTGGTGAGTTGAGTACAGGACTAGCAAGGAACCAAGAGGTAGGATATATAGCAGTTCTTCAGGCCAGGAATATAACTGCAATAAAAAAAAACAGTCCCAATGGAAGCTGCCTTACAAGACAGTAATCCACATTAATCAATGCTATTGACGTACACATGTGATTTGGAGTTATTCATTAAGAAAACAAAGTTATTGTGATATGTGCAATATTTGCAGGGCAGCTGCTAGTACTATTCAGGAACCATCAGGAGCTGACTGTGAGGGGATCTGAACTGAGCCTTGCAAGGGAAAGGCAACAAGTGCTATGAACACAGCTGTGGGAAAAGATGCAATGTGGTCACAGTGTGACAACACAAGAATACTTGTAGATGATAAACAGCAACTGCACTGTAAGGAGGAAGAAGAGCAACAGACTTATCACAGCGTAGCTGGTCTTGCCCATGCCAGAGCAGCATAATGGGCATATTAAGATTTTGTCTATAAAATGCTTTGCAAAAGAGATTCCAATAGGTATTCAGCTGTAACATACGCCGTAAAACAACTGCCACTGAAACTCTGATCCACAGCAGGATACACTGCTGTGCTTGTTAGAGAAAAAATAATTACGTCACATCCCTTCAACACCAGACAACACAAGTAATTTACAGTGCCCTTTCACTTCCCCCTCTCAACACAAGTCTGGAATTGCAAGGATTTCTCCCTCTGTTTTGGTTCAACTACCTGACACATCACCTTTAATAGCTTCCTGGTAATTTATAACCATTTTCACCCACTAAAACGAAAAGCATTCCAACATCAAGCATGCTGCATTTGCTTTCAATCAGGAAAAA